GTATGTCCTTATAGTATACAGTATGTCATTATAGTATACAGTATGTCATTATAGTATACAGTATGTCATTATAGTATACAGTATGTCATTATAGTATACAGTATGTCCTTATAGTATACAGTATGTCATTATAGTATACTATATAACAAGAAGTGTTTTGTGATTCCTAGAGTCGGTGCAGCAGGTTTAAAAGAAAATAACAAATAGAACAAAGAGCATATGTAAGTAAACCTTCATATACAGGCTGTGTATCTGGCTGTAACAGGGTTGCCATACCTTGTACTCAAAGCTGTGCCCATGAAAGTGTACGGTGTGCATGTCCACCTCGTTTCCCATCCCCAGGAGGTACCAGTAAACCTGATCTCCTTCCAGCATCGTCAGCCCTTGCAAGTTGCCATAAAGCCTGCCGTTGATCGCTAGGACGGGAGTGGAAACACAGACCGATCAAACAGGTGGCAGTGGGCATCATTTCGGGCGCCGCGGCATGAGATACGCTGCACCACCATCACGCCTCTCACAGGACTGTTAGAATGTTCCCGAAGGAGATGAACCACAGCAATATATTTCTCAGCTCTGAATCATATTTGGCAAATGCCATTTGGACTCTATAAACCAAAAAGTTGAGAGTAAAACAGCGTTACCATATAATATATATGCATATATATACATGCACAGTATATACACAGTATATAGATAAGTACACTATATGTGAAAAATTAAGTTATTGCTTCCATAGGAATTAAGAGGGAAGGTAGCAGCCAGATGCTGCTAATCAAATACACTTGATTAATTGATCATCAGCAAGTGTGAGCAGCTCTATAAAAGCTGGAGTTTTGGCAGTTTGCTGGTCTGGAGCATTTGGGGCTAAGTTAATACAAAGCCAGGGAGGAAAGACATTAGCGGTGATCTTAGAGAAGCAATTGCTGCTGCCCGTCAATCTGGGAAGGTCATTTCCAAACAATTTGAAGTCATCATTCTGCAAGGAGAAAGATTATTCACAAGTGGACAGATGCCAATCTTCCCAGGATTGGGCGTCCCGGCAAATTCACCCCAGACTGTGCAGTGCTCAGAGAAACTGCAAAAACAGCTAAAGCTTAGCCGAGTTTGGGTCACGCAACAGGACAATGATCCCAAGCAAACCTGGAAATCTGCAGCAGAATGGCTGAAAATGGAAAAGAGCCACGGTGTTGCAATGGCCCAGTCAAAGTCCAGACCTCGACCCGACTGAAACTCTGTGGCGGGACCTTAAGAGAGCTGCGCATAAAGAAATGCCCGCAAAGCTCAATGAACTGAAGCCATGCTGTGAAAGTGGGTCAGAATTCCTCCTGAACAATGTAAGACACTGATAGTCATACAGAAAAGGATTATTTCAACTTATTGCTGCTAGAGATGGATCGACATGCTATTGAATCATGGGCTGCACTTAGTCTCTCACTCATCCAGTCTCCATTTTGGCTTCATTATTGTTAAATAAATAATGACACAGTAGAATCTGTGTGTTGTTTTACACCTGAGGTTAGATTTAAATAATTTTAGAATGTGGTAAGGACCAGATTTTTTATTTCCTGATATGTAAAATCATAGAGCTGAAAGAGGGTGCAATTTTCTTTCCCACATGACTGTTCTGAGTTTGCTTGACAGAGGTCAGGCGTCTGCATACCATGCATTTTATTGCTCTTGATGAACTGCTCGTCATTTTTCTTGACTTTCTCTGGTTTTCCCGCGTATGTTTTGATGTTTTCATCCAGGTACCAGGATTCGTTCTCGTCAAAGACGAAGAACAGCAGAGCGAACTCCTCAATCTCCTTTTTAAGTCCCAGTTTCCTCAGTATGCTGCGTTTGCATATGACGAGCGGTCCAATCAGACCACTGTATAGGTCCTGGGTGACGACAATGGTAGTGCAGTTTGTACTCTGGTAATCTTACAATTTTCTACATCACTTTTACTATTAAAGGTCAACAGAATGTCAGTTATGGTTCATCTAAATGATTTCAGTGGTGATGAGGAAATAAGTTCAGAATTATCTGGACATGTCACATGACCTGCATTAAATCAATTTTACTATACCTTGCTGACATCAACTGTCGAAAAATACGCCCCAACAAGGCAGTCTTCTTCTTCCGGGCCAGGTCCGGCCGTCTTGGGAATATACCAGGTGTACGTGTTTGTCTCACCTAAGGTAAGAGAGAACGCACCCAGTACTGACTCACTGGGGAGGGACACAGCAGACTGGGATAACAGTGACCAGAATTTCACTGACCAAACTGGCCAGTTGCAGACTGGTTTTGTTCTCTTAATACAGTAGACTGAGCTTTTTATAATAATAAATAATAATGATAATGATTTGTGGTTTTCTCACCCGGTGGAGTGTGCTCGATTTTTCCGTCGTCTGTCTTAACTCCGTGAGCATGTATAGAGTATGACCTGCTTGCCATGTTTTTAAAGACAATCTTCACTTTGTCCCCAGCATCAGCATGAATCATCGGCCCTTGGGACGAGACCCATAATATTAATAAGCATAAGTGAAATTTCAGGGTGAAGGAATCTGATGAGTTTTATTTTTATTTTTTTGTCGCACTGCATACCTAAGATTTCCAAATGCTCCTCATCTGCGTCTCTTTGCTTCTGTTGAGTGAAAGTCTTGTCAGTGTATTCTCTGTATAAGACCTTCTTATACTTGGATCCAATGAACGCATCTCCTTTCTTCAGGTAAACGTCTCCCGAGCTGGTAAATCACAGTTAGTACAATAAAGAATGACCATAGTTTTGTTTCCAAGCATTTCAGGATACAGTGAAGTTGGGTCACATTCAGTTCTGTTCTTGCCATGTTGCTATTAATTACAATAGTAGTCACTGGCTCCCAAAGGGACACTAAACGTAAATGTTTGGTGTTTTATCTTACTGCAGAGGTGTTACTAATTAAAAAGCACCCAATGAAACTGCTTCTCAATGGACTTTGTAATTCAGAACAGCTTTTTCAGAACTGGAATTTGGGTTTTTGTACTTGGAGCTACTGATGGTTTCTAATGTGATTTTTTTTGGTAAACAATCAAGCATTTATTTTATTATAAAACCAATAAATCTGCAATATTTTTACTAAATTAAGCATCCCAATACTTTCTGTGAGCATTGTATGTAAAAATATGTAACATATCCATATATATGACATATTCCCAAATATCGGACACATTGTCAGGATTATCAGCTGCCGCTTGGCCTTAAGGACCCATCCCTGCCCCGGGTACCTGGCGTCACCATGCATCTCGGACTCCCAGGTGCGATTCGGTGAGTAGTCCCACTCCGTTTCTACGGCAGCGATGTAGTACGTCTTATGGTGGAGGTAGAGGTCTGGCTTGCTGTCCCACCAGCGACATTTCTCCACGGTGTAATTGGCCCTCATACCCCCCAGGTAATGATCGATGGTCTTGCACGCCAGCCCAAATGTTCCTGGTGTCACCAAACAGGCACATCAATGCCTCAGCATGAATTCCTACTTCATGCACGTTCATGGTATTAAAAACCTACCATTTATTCCCAAAGTCACTGACTTACAATTTATTTAATCCAAGGACAGGAAAAATGTTTTATATATATCCAAATTCAATAGGAAAGCCAAGGTACTGCACTAGCAATCCATCCATCTATCACAGCAACCACTTAATCCCAACTGGGGTCATGGGGGGGACCAGAGCCTCTCCCAGGAACAATGGGCACAGGCAGGAACCAACCTTGGGCAGTTGCCAACACACACAATTATAGGGCCAATTTAGACTCACCAATCAACCTGTCTGGCACGCTTTTGGACTGTGGGAGGAAACCAGAGCCCCCAACAGAAACCCATGCGAACACAAGGAGAGCATGCGAACTCCACACAGAAAGGACCTACACCCGACTCCGGGACCGAACCCAGGACCTTCTTGCTGTGAGGCAGCAGCGCTGACCAGTGCGTCGCCACGCCACACCTGCACTAGTAACCTTTAACCTTAACGTGTTGGTGGCCAGCGAACTGCGGAATATAACGTACGGCATTGTTAACGAGAAGCAGATCTGGCTCTTACCTATGCTGTCTGCGTTCATTATAACTGTGTGGGAAATGTGAGGAAACACATTGACCACATCTCTTCTGGTACCACGGTACATCACTCTATTGCCATCAAAGTGTATGCCGTGGATGTCAACCTCAGAGCCCAAACCAGAGATGTGCCACGAGACCGTCTCTCCTTTGCACATTTTCAGTCCTTGCAAGTTGCCGTACATGTATCCGTTGATTGCTGATGTTGAAGAAAGTCATATTTTACCACATATCTGAAGGTATTTTTGGTTCCATCACAAAACACAACTAATCACAGTGGTTCAAAGTGAAAAAAACTCACAGTGCATCTTGTTTGACTCTTGAAAGTCTTCATCCTCCTTGTTGACTTTTGTGGGTGACTTTGCAAACTGCTTAATATTGTCGTCCAGATACCAGCTGAGATTCTCATCAAACACAGTGGCCAGGAGGTGCAATTCCTTAGCATTTTTCTGGAAGGCAAATGCTACTTAGCAAGATAAGATCATGAATTAATGATTCTACAGTTAGAATTTCCCCCTGAGATCAATGAAGTAAATCTGATGTTTAAATTAAGAATACAATGTTTCGACCAGTCAGTCATTTAATAATGTCAGGTGATTTTCTTTTTTGGCAATTAAAGTAATTAAAGTACTTTTTGATTCTAACTGCTGCCTTGAGAACTGGCCATTTGTTAATAATAAGGTCCCCTCTCTTGTATATGACATCATGTTTACATCACACACCCATCATACCTGTTTCCCTGCCTTTAGGGTGCTGGGTTTACAGATCAACAGGGGTCCCACTAGTCCAGAACTAGTATCTCTAACTGGGTCCACAGCAGAGAAGTAGAGGTTTGTCGTGCAGTCTGGATCATCCGCTGTAGGTCCTCCTTCTCTTGGGACGACCCACGTGTAGGTGTAGGAGGAGCCCGGAAGCACCTGGGAAGCGGGCGGTGGAGTCACTGGTTCTGTGGATAATGAGTGGAGCTCTTCTGAGATAAAGAACCTTTCAAATATCATATATACATCCAGTTCAGCTACAGTGCACAGAAAATGATTCAGAGTTAAGTGCAAAACTTTTCCACGTTTTCAGGCTCTGTGTTTCCGTTTCAAACAGAGGTGGAAAGTTCAAATCCAGAGAGTACAAATCCAGACCAAGGTTTTGTTTCGACCAATCAGTTGAGTATAAAGAGTCACAGTCACAGAGTACTCAACTGGTTGGTTGAAGCAAAACCTTGGTCTGGATTTGTACTTTCTGGACCTGAACCTTCCACCTCTGGTTCCAAATATAGATTCTCCCATAACATTAACATCAATGATGATGAATTTGTACCATTCATGCAACAGAACACATAGACCTTTAGTCCTCATAAAGGCACAAGTAAAACTAAATCTGCAGCTGAAAGAGCACAGCAGAGTGACAGACATTTTCTGAAATGGAGAATCAAAGTATCATGAGAGTTCACTCACGGCCAAAGGTTCCTTTGATCTTCTGGAGTAGTATTTTTGACCTAGAAGTTTCTGATGAATATTAGAACGAATGTAGTTACATTGTGAAATACAAGATTAAGCAAATCAGATTACTTAGTTTAATGCACACAAGGTGTTTTACCTTCAATAACAGAGTTATAGGGTGTCCCGTCCTGGTCGACGGTGTACTGCACCCCGTGTGGCTGCATACTGTAAGGGCGGGAGGCTTTATTCTTGAACGTCACGGTGATGGTGTCCTCTACTTCTGCCCTAATCACAGGACCTGGAAAACCGCTTCATGGTATTATATTTTCAGTTTGTCTGTTATGCCAAATTATTGCTTATTACTGCCAGTTATGCAAGTTTCTTTCCCAACATGTGCCCGTTACCCAGAATCCCAAGGTGCTCTTCCTCAGGTGTTCTCTCCTTCCGTTTGGTAAAAGTATCATCTGTGTATTCAAAATACACTGCTTTCTTGTACTTTCCTCCAATCCTGTCATTGGCAACCTTGAAGAAGGTTTCTGAGTCCCTAATGACATTTTAATGGGATAAAAAATACACAGATGAACAAGGTGGACCTACAAAGTGTGAGAAGCAGAAACTTATTTCATGAGAAAAGGAAAATAGCAAATGATATGATTTTGATGTTGTAAACCAGCTGAACTGTGTGCCTATACGGTTTGCTACCATACAGAAAAAACAGTGAGAAAAAGCTATGCACCACATGAGACAGTGTATAAAATCATCTCACTCGTCAGATTGCAAAGGGTTTCCTGTGAACTGGTTAATCTGTGATGGCCCGTAGTCCCAGGAAATTTCTTCAGCAGCAATGTAATAATTCCTGACTTCGCCGTGTGGTTTTGGCTTATGAACACTTGGGAAACAATCTTTCACATCAAATAACGCTTGCATCCCAGCTAAAGGAAAATGAAAAGAAAAAACCTGCAATGTAATACCTGTATAATACCTGCAAATTACTTTGGTATTGCCTTAAATTCAAGTACTTGCTCAATTGACTATAATGCATCAGAAAATGCTTTTTGGCAGCCTAATCATTAAAGCTATAAATGGCAACACATCAACTCATACTGCACCACTAATCTAATATAATATGCACCTAAAAACTTATTTTGGCTTCATTTTAAATTTCTCACTGAGATACGAAGTTTCTGTTTCCAGTTACAGTATGAAGGCTCCTTCTGTCCTCTGCTCAGATCCCCCAAGCCCCAGCGAATGGTATTCAGCACCAAGAAGCCAAACGGCGACCATGATCTCCCCGCAGACAGCCATGGAGCCGCCCACCAGCAATGCAGCGAGGGCACCCACCCACCCCCTATGATTTGGTACATTCCTCACCATGCGGACCCAAACCCTGGCATGACACATGATTCCACTGTCTAATGCAGGTTAGTAGATGGAGTGGCATGTGTGCAGTTGTGGTGTTTACCGCCACTCAAACCACCCAGAGTTTGGGGGCCCCTGCTGGCCACAAACAGTCACTACACTTGGGGAGTCTGCGCCTGCATGTATGTACCGGACAGGTGATCGTTGATCTGGCAGCTGAGCAGCCAGCGGCCCGGATTGGCTGGTTCCATCTCCCCGTTGACGAAGGATGCCGGGAAGAGGCTGACGGTGTCCATGTGGTGACCCCTCTCTGTCAGGATCTGCCCATGGAAGTACGCCGAGTGGACGTCCACCTCGTTGCCCATGCCAAACAGGTGCCACTGGGTCTTGTGGCCAATGCACATGGACAGTCCTGGCAAATTCCCGAACATGTAGCCGTTGATTGCTGGAACAGCAGAGGAAGGTGTTACTCTCACAAACGCAGAGCAAGGCGGCGGGGGAACGAGTCGGGAAATCGGCAGCCTGCTGCCAAAAACAGGTGATGCACCGAAAGGAGACGCAGCCAACGCCTCATTGAGCATCTAGAACCTTCACAGGAATCTGACACGTCTTCAGAGGCAATTATAGCTATGATACTAAACTAGCTTAACTGATCCACTGTCAACAGCAACATGATGAATGTCTGACTAAAAAGAAATCTCAATACAGACTATGGTCCAGGACAATGTCTCTCAACTGGTATGTCAATGTGGGTCACGAGACCATTTACACACACACAGACACACACACACACACATATATATATATATATCCCCTTGATCGACACTACTACTGTGCCCAACATCCATCATTCCCCCAATCCCAACAGCTTTTATGGTGAATTTGGGCTGTGACTCACTGGCCTGGGAATACTGTGGGTCCCCAGGCTAAAGTGCCAGACAGTCACAGTTTGAGGCCTCTGCACTCGCTTATACTCAAGCTGAGCACATTGTTTAGCTATTAAATCATTACAAACCATTTTTAAACAGGTGCAGCAGAACTACACACTGATAAGCAAATTGTGATTCAGAATGATGCTAGTACTGTATAGAAATACTTTATTATTTGAAGGGCGTTTGGTGGCTGTGTCTTATGTCTATAGGAAAACACAGGCAAACTGGTTCCTGACGCAAAGCTCACAGTGCAGCCTGTTGGTCTCCTGGAAGGCCTCGTCGTCCTTGTCCACATTCTTGGGTGTTTTGCAGTACGTTTTGATGTTTTCATCCAAGTACCAGCTCAGGTTCTCATCAGCCACGGTGAACATCAGGACATAGAGGTTGTCTGAGGTCTGGTCTCCATATACATCCAAGGTGTCTGAAGCAAAACCGACTGATTAAATGTGGGCCATTAAATCAGACTCTTATTAGAATCAGTGCCGTTAAAAAGTAAAAAAAAAAACAAAAACTACAAAAGTGGTATGCACCTTTTTTACAGATGATTAGTGGGCCGATAAGCCCAGAGGCGATATCTCTGGGAGCGTTTACATGCGAGTGGTACACCCGTGTTAAACAGCTGGTATCATCTTTGGAGGGTGCGTGGTCTGAGGTCAGATTCCAGACGTACACATAACTCTGCCCGGGTTTGACGTGATCGTCGGCTTTCAGAGCTCCTTCTGTGTGGTCAGGATATGGGGCGCCTAGGAGGATGGATTCAGTTAGAGAGATTTCGGCTCTTAAACACCATTTAGCTCATCATCATGCACCTGTTTCGACTGCACCTCTGCATTAAAGGGGCACTATTATGCTTCTTCAGTTTCTCCCTTCCCTTTAAGGTTTTATATTGCTTTAGGTACATGGAAACCATCTGCGAAGGTCTTAAGGTCCACAGTTCACGCCAAAGGAAGTAACTCTCATCACAGAAAGCACTCCTCTCTAATCTGCCTGAAACGCCTTGTTGGAATTCCAAGCCTTACTTCCATGACATGGTGAGGTCACCTCAAAACACAATCCTTATTGGCTGCCTGCCTGCCAGGATCTGTCGGCAGACTGCAAGAGGTGGAACGTGTGGGGCAAGCTGACCAATCAGAGCACACTGAGCTATGTGGGATGGGACTTAAAGCTCTAACAGAGCTTTTCAGACAGGGTTATAGACAGAGTAGAGATGTACAGTATGAGAAAAATAATGTGTTCTTTGGAACACTGAAGCATGTAAATCATTACAGTAGACCCGAAAAATAAAATATGAACAGTGAAAATGACCATAATAGGGTCCCTTTAATAATATTACTAATAATCATATTATGTAGCTATATGTAGGTAGTCAAGCACATTTTTAATGAATAGTGTCAATTAACATGAACAAACTCAAAGTTATTTCTCTGGCTCTGCACAGCCTATATTTCCCGCTGTTGCCTGTATTATAAAACTCCGCATTACATCGCTGTGTTTGCTGTCCCAGAGGACTGTCGCCCAAGCCAATAAATGACTGAAAAAGCCAGTCTGCCTGCAAATTAACGAATGTGAGGCTTCAGCTGCATCACTATGACCCAGCAGCACATTTTTCTGTGTCCTACCATGTAGGGTCACCAAACCGGGCACTTGGGCAGGGTTCGAGGATCTTCCCCCATACCTTCATTGGCCTTGTCGTACGTCAGTCCGTGCGGGTGCAGGGAGTAGGAGCGCGTAGCCATGTTCTTCAGGTGCACTTTGACAGTATCGCCTTCCTCCGCCAGGATGATTGGCCCAAGGTAGCCCAGCCACGCCGGCTTGCCCACCTCCTGCTTGTAGGTGCCGTCGCTGTATTGGAAGTAGGCCGCTTTCTTGTAGACGGGCCCGATGCGGACGTCCCCGCGCAGGAGGAACTCAGCGGCGTGCCTTCAAAGTACAACATTTAGGCACTTCTTTGTGCAGAATTACATGCGCGGTGAATATGGACTCGTCAGTAACTTTATTTAAGCAGCGAGTCAATGTTTGCCTTTATAAGAACATTCGTTTTAGCTATGGTCCTATTAAAGTCATTTTTTTTAATAAGCCATCGTCCAGGCAAGTGACAGAGAGTCTCTCCTGAGATGGGTAAACATCAGGGTATTAAGTGAGCTGGAGAGAACATCAATTACATGATGAATACATAAAAATCATACATGCATATTACTGGGTTCAAACCTGTACCACTGACTGAGCCAGTATTCAGCCTGTATCAGGATGCTTCATATACTATTTCCATTGCTTAATTATTTTATAATATAATAATACAGAGAAGCATAAAATTATGTTTAATCAACAAAAATGTGATTCAATTACTGCGTTAATGATGACTGTCACTTTCTTTAGCTGCACAGTATATTGTAGCGTTAATGGTGGAACCAGCTAACCAATACGTTTACTTACTCATCTTCCTCAATGGTTGTGTTCAGAATTAAGTTTTTCCCGCTCGGAGCATAATTCCATTCAATCTCCTTGATCCCAATGTAATATTCCCTGATGGAACAGGATACACTCCCCACAAGGCAAAGAATGAAAAATGAAATATTCTCAAAGCTCCTCATTCTTTTTCCAGGGCAGATGTTTTTTCCTACTCACGGATACAGGCTTTATATGTAAGAGAGGCAGCTGACGGGTTTGCTTCAGCCAATAGTGGCACAGATGCCTTTGCTCTATGACCCATCTATCAAGGAGCAGGAGACCCTCTGATTAGCTTATCGATGTGCGTTTCGGTAAATGACAGCTTGGCTCTTTGTAAACAATCAGTATATAACAATATAGTAACTTTTGTCTCAGTGGCCCTTTTGTATATATTCATCAGTATTGTATTGTGGGCTGAAAAACAGGATTCACCGCTACATTCTGATAGTGAGAACAGTGGGTCATTCTGCCTATGCAAACATGTACAAAGTGCATCGGTTTCAAGAGCTGCAGAAAAGTGCAGCAGATTGGGGAGAATTTCCCCTAACGGGGCCTTTCCAGTATTTCAACAAAAATCAACACGATGGCGGAAAGTTTGCAGGTTTCCCAACCTGCTTGGCCGTAGGCACACGTACAGAAATATGGCGCAATATATTAAAATGGTGCAATTATTTAATAAGAAAAACACGGTAAAGAGGTGAGGGTGTACAGCATTTGTCTGAATATTTCGATGTCCACAGACTACAAATACTTTACTGTAGTTTTAATTTTTCTGAAAATTAATTAATTTTCTGAAATGTTAAACTAGAAATACGAAGCCACACTAGATGGTAATCACACACCCTGGGAGGGGCTGCCAGTCTATCACAGTGCACCAATGTACACCATGGGGTGCAGGTGCTGCGGCGTCTTTAAATGTCTGCTCAGATTGCTGGCCCTTCCTCCTCTTGGCACTTTAGCAAAACAAAGCAGTCTGCTTTACGTCTTATGGGGGGTCGTCCCTTATCTTAGAATATCTCCAAACTGCTGACACCCTCCGCATGTACTCCTCAATCTGCCAGTGCCGGTGTTCTCTGCATTTATCCTTCCCAAATGTTTCCTGACAGATCGCTTGCTATACGCCAAAATCTGAAAAAAAGACAAAACGCAGCTTTTGAGTTTTAACGTAATGTTGTCATTAAGGTTTATTCGGTATTTGACCACGGTATCGGTGCATCCCTACTGAAATTCTTTGAAGAGTTCCATACAATAAAACTATATCCATAAAACCTCAAATCAGCACAGAAACTATACAACGCCTTGCAGCCTCAAACAGGTAACCTAAACAGGTAACCTAAAACTGAGACACAAGGGCGGATGCAGGTTCAAGTTAGGGAACTTAACTAGGCATCTACCAGGTAATGCGCTCAGCTGGAGGGAGAAACTCTCAAGTTGTTTCCTGGCTCCCTCTGGTGGTCAGGATGAGACGTGACATAAACATTGTACTATATTTGTTATAACAGTCGTCAAATGCAATTCAATTCATTTCATTTTTATATAGCGCCTTTCACAACAGAGTCACCCCAAGGCGCTTTATATAGGTGTGCTGTGATATAATACAATATCATTAAAACAGAATAAAACAAAAAGGGGGAAAAGGAAAGAAGAATAATTGAAAAATAAAGCCAGATGACAATGGAGGAAAAGAGCTAAAACTCCCAAGTAGGGAGAAAAAAAACCTCTGGGGGTCCAAGGTCAACTGGCTGCCCAACCCAACCCCATCCCCTCCCCCCCGGACACTAACATTATTGGAAAATGGGGCTTTATTGTCATACCATGCACATACAGCTGTACAGTAGTACAAAATAATGTTCCTCCAGAATCACAGTTCACATACAAAGAGAAAGTAATATGGTTTCCGTAAAAATGATAAATAATGCTGTTGCATAAACAATGTCAGCTTTCTGACTAAAAGCAGATAAATAATAATATGGTTAAGTAACCAGTAGGGGGTGTATTCTCTGGAATGGGTACGAGTTTAGTGTCCTGACTGCCTTGGGCAAGATGCCAAGAGGGTTTAGCTGCAATCGCCTGTAGAGTGGAGCTCCACCGGAAATACATCACCTCCACAGGAAACACGTGATCTTTAAGGGCGTAAAGTGGAGCTTTAAGGTCGTCTTTCAGCTCCATCTACCTTATCACTCTGTTATTCTCTTATGGGTCACATTAATGGACATTGCCGGTTCCTTGTCTGTGTTTTGTTGTCAGAGATGTCGCAGGTATCTAATTCTGGCTGCGATGATTAGGTTGTGAATGGGTTAGGGTTAAGCTGCTGCCACACTGAAATAAATTAAATAGATTTTGCCCAGAATCGGTCTGTCCTGAGAAATCACTATATAAGGTTTACATTCAGGAACCTTCAAATGTCTAGTTTGAATTTGAAGTATCTTGCATTTTGCTGTTTCAGAGAAGTCCTGCACCTTGCACAGGCACATCCTGCAATCTCCCTGTTGCCATGACTGCAGTTTCAGTGTCATTCTGGAGAGTTACCACATTTGGAGTAACAGATACTATTCTGGTGCAGAAAGGAAGGCTTGGTCTGGCCCAGACTTTCTCAGCTGGCTGCTGTTTGTGTGTCTGCTGAAGGCTGCTGTCTTACAGGTCTTTTCCCTGGACAGTGTGGCCGTCTTCTCCCTCGTGGATGTTCCAGCGTCAGGCCCACTGAATGAGTAACTCTCCCCTTCTGCAAGCTGCTCAAGCTGCGCTCCTACCACCCTGTAGTGCTGCTCGGTGTTGGACATGCCAAACCAGAGCTTTCTAGCCTTTCTGCTTATTTTCCTTTATGGTAGGACCTTGCTTAGGTTGTGCTCAGTAGGAGTGGAAAGTGATGTTCAGAATGGGTAGTTTGTAGGCATGTTCTATAAACAAAATTTTTATGTTGTTTGAGTTGAGTGCTCTTTGGTGTCAAGGGACAAGATTCCACGAAAAAGAATTCCTCAGTTCATTTGTATTATGTGTCATGACTCGGCAAGGAGGCGAGCAAGGAAGCAGCAGAGCAAGCCGTGCTCACGGGTAATCAGGGGTTTATTTGAGCAAGCGACAGACAAGCAGGGACATCCAACGTGACAATACAGACAATACAATGACGGATCTCGGGAAGACGGACTGAGACTCGGACTAAATACAAAAGACTAGGCAAACGCAACAGGCAACAGGTGAGAATAATCAGGGAATCACACGAGGTAACGAGGTGGGCGTGGCACACATCGGGATCGAACGGAGCGGATCGTGACATTATGCCCTGAAGAAAACACGAGCTGCTTCACGGTCAGGAAAAAAGTACAAACTTGTACCTTTGAGGGTACAATTACTTGTCACTAGGGCTGTACCCTCAAGGGTCTGCCAGTTGTACCCAAGCTGTAGGCAAATGTTAGTGATGGACAAAATGATGCTTCATGAACCATTCGCTGATTTTTTCACTCCACTTGATGGTTCTCTCTGTTAAAAAATTGGCACAAAGCATTGGGATATTGGGCAGTGAAAGGCAAACCCAGAGCACCATCTAGTGGGGTCAAAAATATAGCAAATGGTTCATGAACCATCATTTCATCCATCACTAGTAAATTTTCCTTTTACGGTACAGAAATGGACTCTGAGGAACATTTTTGTACAGTTGGGAGTACTTTATTGTTGTTTGTATGCATGAGCCTTTGTTGCAGTCCAGTCAGGACATTCTATTATAATAAAGACATTTTAACTAAATGACTGCCTTGGTTTACAGATTTTGGGGATATTAGTGGGGATCTGCTGACCAACACTTGGGATATTAGGCAGTGAGAGACCTCCATGGGGGAAAGGCTGCAATCGACAAAATTATACCTCATGAACCATTTGCTATTTTTTTTTATCCCACTAGATGGTGCTCTCTGTTCAACAAAGGGCACAGAACATGCCCCAATGCAAACCAAGATCACCATCTAGTGGGGTCAGAAAATACAGCAAATGGTTCATGAGGTGTCCTTTTGTCCATCATTAGGAGAAGCGGTTAACATGTCTCTTCAGTGAGGCAGGGAAGGTGCGTAGAGCCCCGCTGATTGGGCAAACCAGGGTGGTCTCTATTTTTAAAAGGGTGTGATCCAGCTATATGGAGGTCACAGCCTCCCAGGAAAAGCTTATGCCAGGACACTGATGCTCAGGTGGAATAAGGCAGATTCTGGCCAGGCCATGGAGCAGTGGACCTCCCTAGTACTGTTGTATTAGAGTTTGTTACAGTATGCTAACAGCCTACATGTGCTTTGTGAGCTGGTATTTTCTTTTTTCAGTGAACAACGTTGTTCTCATCAGGAATTACCTTTGAATATCCAATTCACGGCAACAGGAAACTTTGATCTGCGTCTAATTGTGGATCTACAGCATCGGGTACCATGTTTGCATAAAAACAACTATAACAATAACTGGCTTCATGAGTCATGTCCGGAAAACGCCGGAATGAGGTCATGGCGCCATAATTTTCACAGCGGCTTTTTGTGTGGGGTAAAGTGCAGAAGATACAGTGACCACCTGCACTGTAGGGAAAAACAAAGATCTCAGCACGGGTACCGTGCGTCATGCTGTGTGCTGTTATATGAGACCCATAATCCCTGTTATCTGGTCGCTGGGGCAAAGTCGCAGTTGTTACAAAGAATAATGCCAATGAAACAGATATGCACAGAGGTGAGTTTTTATTTAGAGTTTATGTTAAAAGTTGCCCCACTACGCATCCACCACATGCAAAGTGCCGCTTGTCAGTGAGTTACAGTGAGTATAATGTCCGAGAAATTAAGAAACTGTTATTGCCCAGAAATATAACTACTCAACTTCAATTGCAGGTACTCTATATAACAGTTAAATGTTTAATTTCTTACTAACCCAAAGGCCCAAAATCTCACTGTACTTATTTCACAGAGCTGCTGCTTTTTTAATTTAGCCAGTAGAATGCTACAGTGCTAAACAACAGTCAGAAAAAAATGTCACTTTCCTGTGGAGGTGATGTATTTCTTAGCCTCAGATCTGCTTTTTAAACAGGAAAATAGCAAATAGGGATATCGCCACAATAAGAGGGCTGACAGCTGGTGAAAAGGTCAGTAGATAGTCTCTCATCTACCATTTTAAAACAGCTGGATACAGAGTCACCCGGGATTGTCACTGTCGGGGTCCTTAGCAGCTATAACAAATCTGTAATTACTGTTGTACTTGCTGGGCTTCTGTCAGCCACGGACTGGAACGTTACATGTTTATGAAACACAGCTAAGTTGAATTAGTGAAATATAAACGTATTGCTTCAGTCTGGCTTAAAACAGTTTTGAATATTCCCTGTATGGGATGCCGATGCCACCAAAGTAAGGGGGGGTGAGCGGAGTGATAAGTTTAGCTGACTGGTGGTGGAGGGGGGGTGGGGGGGAGAGATTATAATTCGCCACAGCATTACTTTGAGCTGTAACCATATCAGCCTGGTTTTCAATGACCCAGCTGCCCTGATATGGACCAGCACTGTTAACTCACTGGTATCATCCCGCAGAGATAGATATCCCTGTTTATGTACCATGCTGACTTCTGTCGAAATCAGGATTATTCACATCTGTTTAGTCAGCAAAACATAGGACCAATCAGGGACTGTTCAGCTGCATTACTGACCCTGAGGTAGCTTTACAAATACTGTCTGTCAGGCGCGAGGCTGATCCAGCCGCTGGCTGTCACCGCGAGCGCGAGACAGAACCAGCCGCTGGCTGTCACCACTAGCGCGAGACTAAACCAGCCGCTGGCTGTCACCGCGAGCGCGAGACTGAACCAGCCGCTGGCTGTTACCGCGAGCGCGAGGCTGATCCAGCCGCTGGCTGTCACGGTGGGCGCGAGGCTGCACCATTCTGCTGAGTCATGCCCTGGCTGCTGTCCACAGTGCTTCTCTCCGTCCTCCTGCCGATGGTGGTAAGCATGTCGCTTTCAGCTATCCGAGAGAGGTGACGTTTGTTCGGGCTGAGCTCTGCTGTGGAATGTATCCCAAAGCTAAATGAGCTATTCATCTCCGCTGAGGTATTTTCAACTTCAATTCACAACAGAGAGCCACTAAGCATGCATTGTTTCTCATGCTCGCTTCAGACCTTAGAAAGTGAAGGTGTAAAGGGCAGTACAGCCCTTAGGGTGTAGGAGAGTAACATCAGATGCTGATGTACGTGGCTGATTCAGTTTGCTTCAACTTCCCAATGCAGTCCACCAAGACAGGAGGCTGGGAGAAAGCTACATCCATTTATGAATTCTCAGCAAAGGACATTGATGGCAATGAAGTCTCCCTGGAGAAGTACAGGTCAGCATGGTCATTATATACGATATGCATTTCTACACAGTCTGTATTGCCATATGCAGTGTTTATTTTGCTTAACTAGCTTTTCAAAATTAGTCTTGTCTTGTGTATATAACCTTTATAATTATTTTGCCAATGCATTAAAAAAATTCTCACATTCTTTTTTTTTTCCCCTGTACATAGAGGCAAAGTCTGTATCATCACCAATGTAGCCTCTAAATGAGGCAAGACCCCAGTAAACTACTCTCAGTTTGCACAGATGCACGCCAAGTACGCTGAGAAAGGTTTATGCATCCTGGCCTTCCCGTCTAATCAGTTTGGCCGACAGGTATGGTTGACCATGAGTAGGTGTTCTTAGCAGAATGGTAATCGGTTGTGCCATCATTTTGCTTCATTAATGATCCACCCTCCTGTGTGGCGATATGAGCCTAGATACACAGGAACGTGTCTGCACTGTAAATCTGGTTAAACTCTGATCACTGGGCCTGTAGAGCACTGGCATGTAGCAGTTATTTGCAGTGTGTACAAACTCGCGGATTTTGCAGTAGGCAGATCTGGCCGCAGCCCTTAGTAACGCACAGGACGGCACACTCTACCTGTCTGCCACTTTGCCATTCTGTCTTCTTAGGAGCCCGGAACGGAACAGCAGATTAAGGAGTTTGCCAAGTCCTACAAGGCAGAGTTCGACCTCTTCAGTAAGATCGACGTGAACGGGGATGAAGCTCACCCCCTGTGGAAGTGGATGAAGGCGCAGCCTAAGGGCAAGGGAACGTTTGGGAAGTGAGTTGGCGCTGGAGGTCCTGAGGGTCCTGCTCTTCCCCCTGTGCTGAAATGTGTTTCAGTGATTGTGTGCAAAAGTCATCATATTCTAATGGCATCATTTGTCTATTTTCTAGCAACATAAAATGGAACTTCACCAAGGTACGTCATGATGTCAGTCTTTGTTATATTAATGTAACATCATAACCAGTCCAGGGGATTATTTAGTTCCCCAAGAACATCTGAGGACTGTTAAATAAATGTTATATTTAAATGCCAAACTTGTCCAACAAATTCCATTATCTGTATTGTAGTTTAGTGTCGCCCTTTTAACATTTGATGCACACAGCTAGATATTTACATAAGTAGTAAAGTTTAAATACCTTTGCATAACCTGCTTTGTGGTTTTCTAATACTAATTTGAATAATTTGTATATGTATCTAAAGACAGTATTATATATTCCTATATGTTTATATGCTCCCCCTCATGTCTAGATAAACAGACAAGTGTGGCTCCTGTCACACAGCAGAATTCCTGTTAGAATGATGATCGCTGCTTGTTTTCTTTCTTTTCAGTTTCTCATCGACAGAGAGGGCAAAGTTGTGAAGCGCTACTCCCCGCTGAGCGATCCAGTTGTACGTATCTATGAACTGGCTACTAACATCTAGTTAGGGCTGCTTCCCTCTCAAATTAGTGGCTTGTTAATCATGCCAGAGGGTTCTATCTGATCAGCGGGGTTAAGATCGTCATAGTTGACGTTAGGGTTTTTCCCCACAAGGCTATGAAAGGGATGGCATGTAGCTCAGTGGGCTAAGCCTCTTTGTTTGTGATCAGAAGGTTGTTGGTTTGAGCCTAATCTTGCCACATCTGCAGGCCCTTGAGCAAGACCTTTAACCCCCAGATGCCTCAGTGCTGCTGGGGTTAGCTGCCCTTCATCACCAGCTTGCTCTCACCTACAGAGAGGGAGGCAAGAAGGGAATTTCCCCATGGGGATCAATGAAGTGCCTGTCATTACTAGTGTGTGTGTGTGTATTACCTTGGTTGAAAATTTATTAGTGATGTATTAGAGACATTTTACCGTAGACAAAATTAGAAATTTTTCTGCTGCCATAGTATATTGTAGTGGCAGCCTGGTGGTTAGCGCTGTCACCTCACACGTCTGGGACCCGTGTTCAAGTGTCTGTTGGGGTTTTATGTGTGTGGAGTTTGCATGTTCTCTCATGTTGTCATGGGGTTTCCTTCAGGTGCTCTGGTTTCTCCTCACAGTCCAAAAAACATGCTGAGGCTGATTGGAATTGTCAAATTGCCCATAGATGTGTAGATGC